TTTAAAGTATTTTCCTACCTAACCTAGCTTTTGTTAGTAAAAGAACGTTACTGATAGAAGATGAGTGAAATGGATAATGAAAAATATTGTACGTAAACCCATGTTTATTGTCGGGTCAGGTAAAATCTTGTACGTTACACGTTACGCAAGAGCGTGCTGTTTACATCACTTAGGTGAATTATGCAACTCGCTTCCGCTCGTTGCACAACATTCACCTGCGTGAAGTAAAAACGCTCTTACTACACTTGTAATGTAAATAGCTATTACGCAACCATTAAAAAATTGATTTTTGTTTACAAACATAAATTGGTAACGTAGTTATTTTGTATCAATTGAATTTGTACACTGAAACGATAACAATGTTTGAGGTTAGAACGCTATATAAGTTGTCCTAGACTGCTTTTTTTATCTTACAAACTATTTCGTGCTGATACATCTATTTTTTTAACATTTTAGTCATGTTGACAAAATATTTTGCAATGTACAGACAAAACAGTAAAGACTTTATAATCTTATAACTAACTATCTGCCCATGCTTCGCAACGGGGTGAGAATCTTTGGGTCTCTAATTCCACCGTAAAAAAATAGTATATTTCGTACCTGGGGCCTAAAGTGAGGTTTTGCCGACTCGATATCGGGTTTTAAGTTCGGGACGAAGTCGAGAACGTGAAACGATCGAGAGCTGCAAACCCAATTTGGCTCGTGGTACGAGCGGTTTTTTTTACCCAAGTATGTTTTGCAATATAACGTCCCTCTTATTTATGTGAAATATTTTGAGGAATCAGCAAAATCAAAAATAACAATAAATAGTTGTCTAGGCAGCTGTGACAAAAAACAAGTCTATTGCAATGCCATGGATACAGCTTGTGCATTTAATATACATTAATGTTTTAAGTAAATAGGCGAACAAGTGATTTTGCGGCCCTAGGGATGTAAACCCCTGCTCGGTCCCCATATGACGATGACAGCTGGCATGGCCAGCAAAACGTAACTTTCAGCCACCAATATAAACCAGCTAAATGTATGTAAAACAGCTAAAAACATCATAGTGAGGTGAAAAATTTGTTACGCATACTTTTACATTACCATGAATTAATTATATGCATACAGAAAAAACGGAGTCATACTTATTGCGTATTTTAATGTAAACTAGTGGCTTGTAGGGACATAGTCCCTAAAAAGCTACGGAAAAAGGAATTATTGTTGGAATATTTAAACAAACTCAGAATCAAATTATCTATATGTCAGGATAGGCCTAGATATCCCACTACAACATATCTTTTGTGCAAAAAAAACAAAACAGTTTGTTGTTTGTCTTTGTTTGCTTTTGTTGATAACGTTATGTTCAATAAAGAATTTGAATGATTCCTGAGTTTAACTGCTAAAGGCAGCAAACATGTTTATGAATAAATATTGGTTTATTAAGGTAGCTTTGGTTTTTTGGTTAATGCTGATAACAAGGCTTCCCTGATTGAAATACAGTATTGGAAATTGTCTTCGTCAAATAAGAAAAGGCAAAAAATGGTGTGTTGAGATACCCTACCCAGTTATTATTTCTAAGTCTATGCTCATTTTGTAAAGGTTTAACAAAATTATTCTTAAGTAAAGGCATCCCATTGACAGAACTTGGACCTAAATTTGTTTGTGATCAACATTAAAAAACCACTATTAGCCTAGTGTAAGTATGTGGTGTTAATCCTCCTAAAGGTGCGATTGATTTACATATTCTACCAAAAAAGGGCCTAGTCAACGTCTAATTACCAACTATTTTGCGGCTAGTTATGGTTCCATTACCCAGTTATCAAAACTAATCACAACATAAATATTTTTGGTTCGTTTAAATACCTGTACGAACCTACTTCATCTTTATTCCCAAATTGTTTTCTAAGAGTAACCGTTGAGGTTATTCCACTTCATACAAAATATTGATTAATAAACACTACAATAAATCTCAAATATAAATGTTAGTAAATTAACAAAAAAATTGGAATAAATCTTTTACATATGTTTTGAAATAAAAACAAAGAAGATCTTCTTTTAATCTTGAATCGTTTCTTAAATCTTGAAAACAATTTATTTCAACTTTGACATAACTAAAAAGTCTTGATTATTAAAGGTAACGTTATCCCTTTATATAGTTGGTTTTATATAGTATACATTACATTGCAGAATTGACTGGCAAATGAGTAATCCAAATGTAAGCTTACTTGCTAATGATAAAATCACGATCAGCTGGATTGAAGTAAACAAAAATCAGCAGTAAATGCCTTCTAATGCTATTCTTATGGAGAACATTGTACGTTATATCTAATTTTGTGTTAAGATTTTGGGAATTTCACTATTTTTCCTGCCGTCACGGGATAAAGACCTTTAATTTGAGCCCTCTCACGTCGTTCTACGACTTCCCAGTCGCCCACAATTTTGACGCAAAAAATCGGCTTACGTAATTAATATATAGATTCCCATGAAACTGATAATTTACCCAGCACATTAAGGTCTTTATTCCAAGTATCTCAGTTCGTAAACCATACATACAATGTGACGATAAAATATCAACAAAATAGCATGTAGTTTTATGTAATCCTCACGACATTTCATTTGGTCCATTGACTTTAAATCCAATAATTGTAAAAATTATTGGAGCTTTGAAAAAAACTTCATATAAAATCCTTACACTAATAAAAGACGACGTCATGAGCGCGGGAAATGAGCTACAGCGGCTAGAGCATAGCCACATGAATACAGAACGGAATGAAGGAACTAGAACGGAGAACTGGCAACAGCGCACGCGAGAAGTAGGGGGGGCGCACACACCGCTCAAGCACTACAACGCATTAGTGGCATCCTGTCCACACACTGTTGATATATACCGATTTGTGGCATGGTGCCACAATTTAAAAACTGGAATGTTAGATGTTAAAATGGAGTGTTCATTAAAAATATCGATGCAGACATGTTTCTACCACCTTCCTTCATCCACTGGTGGCCGCAGGTTGAAAGATGCCACAATTAGGTGTTTGCGAGTATTCGGTAAAACCCCGTATGTGTGTGTGTGTCTGTGTGTCTGGATGTGTACAGAGCTAGAGACCACACCTGTGGTCCGATTTCGATGAAATTTGGTATGTAGGTTCTAATCAATGGTATCTCCAGGCGTTTTTTTCATTTTTTTGAAATTTGTATTTTTAATGGGGATTTTCCCATAAAAACCCATAAAAAACAGGAAAAATCGGATTTTCTCAAAAACGGCCCGAACGATTTTGATAAAAATTTAGTATGTTGTAGCCCTTTAAATTCTGAATAAAATGGTACAAATCCCATATCTGTAAAAATTACGGTTCAAAAGTTATGGTCAAATATGTTATTTTCCCATAAAAACCCCAAAAAATAACGAAAAATTTGATTTCAGAAAAAAATCCGGTTTTGATTTAACATAGTATGTTATAATCCTTACAGTTTTGATAGTTTTTTTTTAATTTTTTAGAAATTTTTTTTTTTAATGGGGATTTTCCCATAAAACCCCATACAATAACGGAAAAATATGATTTTCCCAAAAATGGCCCGAACGATTTTGATAAAAATTTAGTATGTTATAATAGTCCTTTATATTCTGAACAAAATGGTACAAATCCCATTTCTGTAAAAATTAAGGTTCAAAATTTATTGTAAATTATGTCATTTTCCCATAAAACCCCCATAAAATAACAGAAAAATCGGATTTCCCAAAAATGGCCCAAACGATTATGATAAAAATTTAGCATGTTATAGTGCTTTAAATTCTGAACAATATTGTACAAATCCCATTTGCGTATATTTACTCTCACCACTTACACATGATAAAGGTTGTTGACAAACTTATGGGAGAAAGTATGTGTCAGAATGCTGATACCGTTTATTTTATTATTGTATGGTTTTTAAGGGAAAACATAATTTACAATAACTTTTGAACCGTAATTTTTACGGAAACGGGATTTATGTCATTTTGTTCATGAGTTAAAAGGACTACAACATAATAAATGTTTATCAAAATCGTTTGGTCCATTTTCGAGAAAATCTGATTTTTCTGTTATTTTATGGGTTTTTATGGAAAAATAACCATTAAAAACAAAATTTCCAAAAAAATTTGTACTTACATACCAAATTTCATCAAAATCGGACCACAGGTGTAGTCTGTAGCTCTGTACACATCCACACACACACACACACAGAGACATCACTTCGAAAACAACTTTTTTGGGTCCAGGGGGACTCAAAACGGATATATCCACTCAAAAATCAAACTCAAAAATGTTGACGAAAACAATACTTTCTCCAACCATATGGTATAGGGGGAGAAAGAAAAATGCAGTTATGGTCGGTTTAAATATCTGTGTGTGATTAGCTACCGGTATTGGTGTTTTAAAATTAGACTGCTTCAAAGTTAAATTGCACCAAATATGATTTTTTAGTTACCGGTACCGTTTAAATTTAAATTTTTACTCATTAGGTTTTTATAGAACAATGCCACAAAGACTGCAAATTGATTTTGTTTTTTATTATTGCTATCTGCTAAAGATTTACTAAATATTTTTTAAACCTACCCATTTTTGCACAGAGAAAACATTTTGCCTTGTCCCGGCCCAAAAATTAGGATGGAACTAAAACATCTCTTTACGTCACGTCCCAAACTAAAAGTACAAACCTGTGCAGGCCTAAAAAATCGTAAGCTGTGGGTAAGTTACTAGGTATATGTAAAAAAAACACACAAGCTGTGCCCAGCAGCTGACCTACATTAATGAAAGCGACTGAATCTGCCAAAAAAGATACTATATTAGGGCTAATCAATGTTATGTTTTGTGACCTTTTATTTAGTATCTATTAGCCCCAAGGCTCTTTTCTCAGGTAAGCTAGTTCAACTCTATCCCATTACAAAAAATGTCATACCAATTGGTATTTATTTCATGAAAGCAACTCAATGTAATTTTATACCCAAATTTATCAAAGTAAACTACCCTAAACCATACCTGAGCTTGATATGGAGTGATAATGCCGCACTGGTCAGGTGTCAACCCTGCGTTGTACAGACTCTGAAGATACAAGGTTGTCTGTACGGCCTCATGAGGGTTGTACCAGCTGGGGCTTTCTTGGGACTGACAGTTGGTGCCTCTGACTCCGTGAAACACCAGGGCTGGGGGACTCTGGTCCTCACGTGTTGGCAACAGCGATCTCAACCTGTCCAGTATTTCTGCTTCCTCACTGGTCACATCTGAAACCTGTTGGAATAGTTTGGGTATAAGTAAAGGTTTGTCAAGAATCATTGTTAATGTTGATATTATTGCTACTGTTGATACTGTTGCCACTGTAGCAATTATTCAAAATTAAAATTCCCCAGCATTATATATGTGAGATTCACAGACCTTTACTGGTCGTAAGGATTCATAAAACAAAGCTTGTTTAGTTTCCTGTTTATTTCCGATTGAGCTGAACCCCCTGGATGTATTGTAATAAGTTTACATAATTTACAAAATTTGTAATTGTTTGATTTTTTACCCAACCCGCTATGTTAAACTTCCCTATCCCATGCGTGATGTAAACAACTTCTTTACTTCATGAGTGAAGTTAAGTTTCAAAAACTCACTAGTGAAGTAATGAGACTCATTTAATTAACATTGAGTGCCCAACTAAAAAAAAAAAATATACTTCTATGGAGCCAAAGACGTTCAACGCTAGAAATCAGCTGTGCGCTTGAATTTGATTGTTATGCTTTAGAGAATTTTCCTAACCTAGCTTTTGTTAGTAAAAGACCGTTACTGTTAGAAGATGAGTGAAATGGATAATGAAAAATATTGAACGTAACCCCCTGTATATGGTCGGGTTAGGTAAAATCTTGTACGTTACACGTTAGCAAGAGCGTGTTTACATCACTTAGGTGAATTATGCAACTCACTTCCACTCGTTGCACAACATTCACCTGCATGATGTAAAAACGCTCTTACTACTTGTGTAAGGTGTAATGTACTATTGTACATGTACAAATGTAAAACACAAATGTTGTGTATTAAATCACAATGTTTTGAATTTTACTTGAGTTTCTATTTTCTTGTTATATTTATACAACACAAATACAATAGTCAAATATGACGCATAACAACATTTGCAACTTATTTCAAGGGAATTGTGTATTATTTACTGTAGTTAGGTATCAATGGTAGTGGTAGGTACTGGTAATGAAAACCAAGAAAAGAATTGATTTTGCTGAAGAATTAGTTAAAGATACGACAAACCACTAATTAAGACTTTAATATAGGATAATTAGGTTTTAAATCCCATCCAAATAACCGCATTACCTTAGGTATCAGATCTCCATGGTAGAACATGTTGTTGGGCAGTTGCAGTATCTCTGGGAGAGAGCGGTAGTTGTAGACCAGTCTAGTGACTAGATGGGGGTTGTATCCACCAGTAGAGGGGAAACCAACAACATCCCTGCAGTAAAGACTGCGCTGCAGCAGCCGGGACAAGAACGACTCTCCTAGACCAAAGTGTTCAGCAACTGAGCTAATCACCACTGGACCGAGCTGCAGAGGGTCCCCCGCTAAAATGGCTTGGCCGTGAGACTTGTGTAGGAACACTGCAAGTGAAAAAACAGTTCAATTTAGCTTCAGAGGAAGTCTGCTATCCACATGATCACACACTTCATACTAATAATGGGGTGGCGGAATAGTACCTGGAGTTACACACCACCCAGGTTAGTGACGTTTAATTTTTCGACCAAATCAGGTCTGGCATCGTGGGATAGGTCGTCAACATCTTCCTCGTCATCACTAAGTCTTAACTACTTTGCTTACTGTAAACTGAAAAGCAATTTGCATGCAATACTAGTGACGTTAGTTACCTAGAGGTATAAGAATCTCCGGTTCAGTAGCTTGGCCGGCCTCATCCACCACAACATGTGTGAAGTGTCCCTTGGGGAAGCCCATCTGGTAGAGGACAGCTAGGGCGCCACACGTACCCACAGTCACCCTGTGTCGACCAATAGCATGGCGGGAGATGTTCACTACACCTTCTATACAACACAATAAACTAAGAGTCATGTTTGATTTTAAAAGAAATTCCAAGCTATCTATTTAAGATTAAGATGAGTCTGGAATAAATTAAACAATACTATAAAAAAATTAGCTTTTTGGTCTTTTTAAAGAAGACCCAGCTCACTTAAATCATAAGGATAAAATAAAATGGTTGTGCTGAACAAACAACTAATCAATAACAAAACTATAATAAAAAGCATCACAAACCAAATTTTCAAGCGTCTTTGGCATTACGCTTGCCTGACTCCAAAACACAATTGTTGGTCTCCTCATATCGAGACCAAGTAGTTTTTCAGTGATACTTTTGAAATATTTAGCACCATTTAATACTATGAAGAATGAAGTACCAAACATCCACCCTTCAATAATCAGGCATTGTTACCTTGTACATGGTTGGGCACAGGCATCCTCTGCTCGTCTCTAGCCTTGATATCCGCAGTACCACAGTAAGGCCGCAGACTGTCAGGTACTCTGCCCTGGTCTGCGTAGTGGAAGCTGCAGAGCCGCAGCAGATCTCCTGCAGCCAGCAGTCCACTCTGCAGCAGCCTCTCGCACACCAAGTCTGCTGCGGAGTTGCTAGGAGTCGCTACCAACAGTCTAGAAACAACCACATTTTTTAAGAGGTTGGTACCCTTTTAACTATGCATTTGCCTATCCACATGGGCCTCAGGGTTCTGCTTGGAAACATTGACTTTTGGATACTGAAGTAGGCATACCATGTATATGGACTGGTTGTAGCCAGGTTTTTTTATTAAAAAAGATCATAGTTGAAAGTGCCGCTCACAGATTGTGCTGCTGACATTGTTCATATTACATAAAAGATAAAAGATACTATAGCTATAAGATATACTAGAGAAAAGATACATTAAAAAAATCAATGTATCAAGGACATTTCTGGGAGAAAGTGTGTATTCAGAAGGTGTAGATACCCTACTTTAGGACATTAATACGAGCCACAGTGGATAACTTACCTACTATCAGGAATGAGGAAGTATATTTGGAGAATCGCTTCAACAACTGTGATGGTTTTGCCTGTGCCAGGAGGTCCAAAAATAACATAAGGAAGAGGTCTCGCTTCACCTTTCAGTATATTACGGACAGCTTCCTTTTGATGGTGGTTCAGTAGTGGGTTAAACCATCTGATTTTTGTCCTTTTCCACAGCGGAATATTGGAAACACTTTCTTTTTCAATTCCCAATTTCATTTCAGTGTTAGAGTTCCATTTTATTTTTTGTTCTTTCTTTTGTCTTGATGATTGGTTTTCTATGTTTTTTGCCCTTGTGTTTTTTTCTTTCTTTTGTTCTTTGCTGGATTGATTCTGATTTATTTCTTCGGATAAGTTTTTCTTTTTATTACAACCTTGTGTTTCCTCAATGGTTTGAGTAGATTTTTTGTCCTCCGCAGAAGGTAAAGGTTTGATATCTTCTTTTAAGACATTGCTATGTGATAGCAATGTCTTTTCTATCTCTTCTAATGTTTTCATTTCAGTTTTTCTCTTCGGTACTTTTAATCCCATTATGCGTCGAAACACATCATCCATTTCTTTAGAACCTTTTTCTATCGAATGGCAATTTCCATTCTGAAGAAACCTATCCACAACTGAAACTCTTGGGGGAGATGACACTTTTGGGATTTCATCTTTCAGTGGTAACTTTTCAAACATATCTGATACTCTACTCTTTTGACGCTTGTTTTTAGATCGGTTTGTCTTTGAACTATCAACATTATTTACATTATTGATTGCAGAGTTTACACTGTCCTCGATACTTTGTTCAGAGGAAATAAATGTTTCAATAACTGATTTGTCTAAACCATTTTGGTTGGTGCCTGTGTTTTTACTGAACTCTTGTGTGGTATTATCAATTTCATTCACTGACTTTTCTAAACTATTTTGGATTGCACTTTCTTCTTTGGCAATACCTTGAGCATTATCACCACCATTACTGATATTATTGTCACAGTCTATATCAATTGCTTCACTGATATGGGATGAATTTTTATGATTAATATTATTATCTGTATTAGATTCAGACTTGATAGTTGCACCAACTGAATTATGATTTGCTTCGTCAACAATTATAACCTGAAAAAAAAAACTGTTATTAAAAATCACACAAAAGAATTAGGTACTTAATTTAATCTAAGCCACCAGTCCTGACTCCTGAGGGACTTGGATTGAAAACTGCCCTCTATAATCAGTGTTTAAATAGGGTGGGGGACACCACAGCAACTAAACCAAACCACTGACGGCAAGAAAAGACATTTTTATTTGAAAGTTGTTCTCGAATAGGTACTATTATCACAAATGCCGCTAATGACTGTGTGCCCCTAAAGAAAATGTGAGCTGTTGAAATGCTTTCTCTGTATTCACATTTTGTGTAAGTCTTTTTGCTTGCAACATAGTCAGGTATGTTTTCGGTTTCTGATTGGTAAGTAGAAAAAAAGTAATGCTGAGACAATACAGTATTCTTTTTGGGCCATAGCATTTCGCCAAAGGCTTCAACTAGCTGTTCATACTCCACGTCTTTGATCTTCTTTGTAGGTCCTTTGAATGCAACTAAGTTGTAATGGATAGAACCGATTGATGCACATAGAATTTGAGTTTTTTTTAGTTTTGTTTGATACATTCTTCATGCTGAGATAGTTGTCAAATCGTTCAATATAGGCTGAAAATCTTTCTTTTTCTGAGATGTAATTTTCAAATGGATCTGGTGTGTTATTTTTTATCTTTAGTTCCTCAAAAAACTGAAATAAAAGATCCATTTGTAGTTTCTGCCCTTCCAAGAATTTGTCAAATTGTTCTGAATTCATTTCTCTTCATTGAATTCATGTTCTGACAACGAAACATAGACAGGAGGCGTAATCGTGATAATGACCGCAGCAACAGTGGTGCATAATAGCATTGACTTTATATCTACACAATAGGCTTAACTCATCACAGTCAACCTGACCCTGGACAATCTCAACTATTAGGTTACAAATGCGCCCTAACACTACCCCAAAACGACTTTTCATTCTCAATTGGCCCTCTATCAATGACCTGTGTTGCCTGTACAGCGAGGCATTTTGAGTAGGAGAAAACCGGCCAGAATACTTTAGGTTTATCAATAACGAAGATAAACATGGTCTGAGTTACACATCGGTAATCTTTGAGTTGACTCTTTTAAACTCATTGTAAATATGACTGTTATTCGTTTTGAAATAACTCCTGTAATACTTTGCAATTGCTCGAATTCGAGCAACATGTACACTAGTTAGAAATTATAACACAAACTACTTAATTCACTTTAGGTTAATAGGAAGTTAATTAGTCCATTTAAACGACATTTCTCTTTTGGTCTGTAAGCAACGTTATGATCATTCCTGTTGGTCTGTGGGAGTAACCGGACCGACAAAAATGTGCGTCGCTCGGTAGCGAACATGTTAAAGCATTGTACAAAGTTTATTAATCATGAACGATTTGAAAATAAGCCATGTATCATGTATCTAGTCATCACTATTTAGTAGTTACCTCCATGTCTCGCTCTCTAGCTATTCCCGAATCAACCCTTGCTTTGGCAAATTTCCCTATAGAGAAGAAGCTATGATGCCGTTGGTGGCACTGATATGCCTAAGACTGTTTTCTATGATAAAGCTGTAGCCATTATAAATAAATAAGTAAAAATAACTCTCTGCAACCTATCACTACTCAAAAAGCTCACTACCCACCTGAGGCGGCTGGTAAGTAACTTTGCTGGGAAACAACCACTCAGCACATAAGTTCTTGTGTCCAACATGCACAGCCTGGTGCAGACGTCTGAAGGAAGTACGGTTAGATTCAAAGTTGATGGAGTAGACGCCACTACAAGTGTCGTGGAACGTAGGGTTGAACTTAAGTAGCACTTCATTACTCAACACTTTGTGGATGAACCCCTCATATGCGACAGTGTTATTGTCTGCAAACGGATAAAAACTGATGAGTCGTCCAGTAGAAAAGTAGCTAAATGTTCGAGGGCAAGATGGAGTTATCAAAGTTTTGGGAAAGTTTCTAGTCAAGTGTAAGTAAAGGTACAATTTGCAGTGACTAGCCAGTAGTGAAAATATATAAGGGAGTGGCGCCTCAAAAATTAAAGCAGTTTAGAGTGAGAGGGTCAAATTCAATTTTGTCAGTCCTATAACATGTTATTTCAGAGTGTATAAGAATAAACAATTAACCCTTTAAAAATCTGCAATTTTCAGTGTACTTTTACTGTTAAGAAAGAACTATTATGCATAATTTATCTGTAATACATACAAATTATACCAGTTTCTCATTTCTTCTAACTTTGTAGAATACTAGAATAGTAAAAAATTAACTATTTCATTTGTTGGTCCTTGCTCAAATAAGTGACTATAAAAGCCTTAACAATTACAAAGACTTTTTAGTTTAAATATGAAGCTACGGACTAATACAAGGAGAGTTCCTTTTAAACAAGTTGGCAAAATCCCCTTATAAGTTTCCCTGCATCATGGACCTGTCAACATAGCACACCTGTTGCCCAAGAGTTAGCATCAGTCCAGGAAGGTCTTGCGATGACAGTGTCGCCAACCATCAGTGACGGGCGTCTCTCAGCCAACCCAGGTATCTCCAGGCTGAGATACTCATCTACACGGTGCAAGGCTGCTGTTGTGTCATACCTATAACACATCATAGAATTTTGACAATTTATGGAACTAGTGTCACCACTTTCAAGATGAAGATTGAGGTAGTTGAACCGAGTGTCACCACTTTCAGAATGAAAATTGAGGTAGTTGAACTGAGAGTCACCACTCTAAGAATGAAAATTGAGGTAGGCTAGTTGAACTGAGTGTCACCACTTTCAGAATGAAAATTGAGATAGTTGAACTGAGTGTCACCACTTTCAGGATGGAAATTGAGGTAGTTGAACCGAATGTCACTACTCTCAGAATAAAAATTGAGATAGCCTAGTTGAACTGAGTGTCGCCACTTTCAGAATGAAAATTGAGTAGTTGAACTGAGTGTCGTCACTTTCAGAATGAAATTTGAGGTAGTTGAACTGAGCGTTGCCACTTTTAGAATGAAAATTGAGGTAGTTGAACTGAGAGTCACCACTCTGAAAATTGAGGTAGGCTAGTTGAATTGAGTGTCACCACTTTCAGAATGAAAATTGAGTAGTTGATCTGAGTGTCGCCACTTTCAGAATGAAAATTGAGGTAGTTGAACTGAGTGTTACCACTCTCAGAATAGGAATTGAGTTAGTTGAACTGAGTAACTTACAGAGAGTGTTGATGTCAATCACAGATTTCTTTTGAGTGGTAGAAACTTAAGAACCAAGCCAAATTGAAAGGACCCCTTTTTACACTGTTGCATCTTTTATGTCACACCAAAATAACAATACCAAAAACTTAAGTCACATTCTGACAGCAGGGCTCTGTGCTATGTTCTATTTGATTTGAATAAAAGATTGATACAGCTGGTCCATATAGAATGGATGATTACTACTCTCAAGAAGTCAATGAGTGAATTCATTTCATTTCAACAGGTAAATTTTTATAATACATGCTACTGTAGGGCTTCATCATACAACTGAGGGTCTACTGACAAGAGTGACCATGAAATGTAGAAAATCTTAAAGCAATTTATGACTAATTTTATTACAACAAAGTTTTAGTAGATTTCTCTACCCAAATATCACATGGAACCTTTGTAAAGAGCTCTTCTATGCATGGGATATTACATATAATTCCTGTGTGTCATGTGGTATATTGATGGTTGTAATTATTTTACATAAAGTGCATAACTAAAGGATTTAAACTGCATCAATGTTCAAAAGTTGTTTCTGCTTAAACAGGGGGAATACTTTAATACTTTAAACTTAACACACGTTAGATTTAACACTTTTTAATGAAATGGTGACTATACAAAGTAGGTATTTTAAGCCAAATATGAATGGAGATGAGTGTAGGATGAGTGGTGCAATCTTGTAGTCTTGTTAGTGACTAAGGTCGACTTATTCCTTAGACAATGCTGTTAATTAATAGCCCATACAGCTAATGGCAGCTAAGGGACCTACAGTTTATAGTGGAATCCGAACCACATTTTTGCCTTGGTTTATACAAATTGGTCTAATTTTCAGGATAGTACTGTGGATAGTCGTACTCACTCGTGCGGACGTTAATACACACCAGTGAGTATCGCATCCACAGTGCATGCCTATAAATATATGCCACCCGTCTTGAAGAACATGGTTCACAAACTAACTCTAAATATATTCAAAACATTAATGTATGTACTTGTTAATATCAAATTATTTGTAAAAAGGTAAGTTTATCCTTACCGGCTTATGTTTGCTCTGTGTGCCACTTCCTCAACATGTATAACCTTGTCCCATCTGTCAATATAGTTCTGGCCATTCAAGGATCCCGCAAGAGAAGGATATTTCTTCAGTAGTTCAGCAATCACTTCATATGTCCTGCACAAACATTTTTACTAAGTAAGTATAGAATAAGAAAGCAACTTGTATTCAACTAAACGGTTGTTTGATTTAAGTATTTAGTTTCTCAGTCAAAAAATATAGTCAAAGGCACAGACTAAGAGGTTTCAGAAAAGACTAAATTAGCTAATTATTGCTATTTTAAATCCGAGAATTTGTATGTTATGGGCACCCAGTATTTTTAGGACACATAATAGTTGCCATTGAATGCTTCATACAAATACTAAAACTTCCAGATTAGTAACAACCGTGACACACTGTTATTACCTGACTGCTTTATCAGACCCCAATGCTATCCTCTCTAGTTCTTCGGGTATAGTGAATCTTCCTAAGTGTACAGGTACAAAATTTGCTGGCTTGATTGGCCTGACTCCGGGGACGATGAATCCGTTTCTTGTTGCCAAAAGTTTCCTATAACAATAAAAACCAATCAATCAAAATATTCCTTATTCCTATTGTACATGATTTACATGAACTGGGTTGACAATAATGACTGAAACAATATACATCACAACATGTCGTAGCATTATTAAAAACTATTCTAGAAATTCATAAAATTCCCCTTTTTGTAATAACTATTATTACAAATACTGTAGATTAAAAAATTCCCCAATCATATTACAGCATTTATAACATCAAAATTTAAACAATGCAGGGACAAAAAAGTTTTTAAATAGTAATAGGGTCATATTTTGTTTGCAACTTCCTAGCACACTAAGCTGTGTGAAACAATCAAACACAATAACTAATCTTACTACTTTTTACTACTTTGTTACACCTTTAACAAATCCAGACCTACCTTACAGTGAGAGGTTTTTGCTCAGTTTGCTTGTACCCACTTTTTCTACTTTCGGCCAAGGAAGTAGTTAAAGACGCACTCTGAACGTCCACTGCCAATTGTCTTCCAATTTCAAACCCTTCAAAATGGAATCTCAACAATTCACTGGATCTTCCTACAAACCTGTACAGATAAAATGAGAGTGTATTAATATTATTTTGATATTTTTAGGGGGTGGGGATGAGGTTGATTAGGGAGTTTGTGATGGAGGAAATTTAGTTTAGCTATAGCTTACATAAAAAAAATTAAGTTTACCAGCTTTTAATTACATCATCAAACTAAATTGAAAACAAAATCATCCAAACATTGTACGGAGTACATTTTGAAACCCACTAAGCTTAACCTCGTCTCACTTATAAATCTTCCAAAAATAAATAGGAAAAAATTTGTACATCAACTAAATTGAAATATAGATTCATATGATATGAGAGGCTACAGCTGCAACACTACCTAACTTATCATGGTGGGTGTATTTACTATTGAAAATACTATTGTGAAAATCAGGACATTTTTCCCTATTAATTGTGTTTCAACCTGTAGGCCTACCCAAAACACAACATAAAGGGCAGTCCTATAGGCTACAAGAACTGACACCTACCTTCCCTGTACCTTAGAAGTGACATGCAGTGTGTCATGGGGCTGTAGGGTGGTAGGGAGAGGGAAGGAGAACGGTGGAAGCTGAAACTGTGACTCTCGATTTGTCTTCTCTACACCAATCAGCGTCTGAGGACTGGCACCTTCATTACTTATGTCAATCTGAAACATAGGACAGCTGTTACCATAAAAAACAAGTGAGGTGCAATCTCAACTCTATATCTGGCAAGCTGCTAAGAAACACATTTTGCAAGTGATGAGTAAGATTAGAGGTTCATCGAAAATGCATCAAAATTCTGATTTGATTCGAATCAGTGGTGGTCAAAACCCGATTCTATTCATGGGGGAATCAGTATCCATACACGAAAACGCCTGCAGAAAGTCAATGCAATACCCGCAATACAGGAGCGCGTTGTTGTTGCGTTTCCTTTGCGAAGGTGTTCTTATTTAATTTTTTGCAAGTAAATATTGCTTTAATTGTTTTATAATTTTTTGTTTTGACATTGCAAATGATGAGAAGTGTTGTTAAGTGTAAGCAGTGTTAGATATGTTTTACTATTGTAAACATAGCAAAAAAGTCACTCCAAAATCATTCTAAAAACAACAAAAGTCTGAAAAACTGTTACTTTATACTCAACTAGTAAGACTGATATTTTAGAATGACAAATTTGGTATTTTTGTAGGTCTGAAGCTATGTATACATTGTAGTTTTTAGGTCTGATTCTAACCTCTCATTTTATCAATGTAAACCAATTAAAAGTTTCAGTATACATCTTACAAATGTTTTTATTCGTCTACACCAAAATATATCTTTATTTGTAAAATCAATATCATAACTATAAAATAAGTAGCGTGCTTAACAATATATGATTCTGCAAGTAAAAATTATGAAATAGGTAAATAAAGCAGTTCACTGACATTTCCAGAAATATAGGTTCTTCTATATGATTGAAAATAAATATTTTTTCACCTAAAACTCATATAGGCCTATGTCATATGTATAAATAGGCCATCATACCAACATAACACAGGCCATAAATACCACATCAACAAGTGGTAAATTGTGATTATTGTTAATTCACTCCATTGACAGTGTGAATAGAAAAATGCTGTATTGCTTCGAATAGAGCTGCATTGATTCGAATCGAAAATCTTTAGAATTGAATCGAACATTTTTTGCTGCTTTGCACACCCCTAGTAAGATGAGCCTAACTTGGATCTTCCTATCTCGGTTCTCAACTCCCATCTTCCTAATTCGACATCGACAAACTCCAACAAGCCTTTTAACCCCTTGGGTATCCAAACAATTTAAATAAAATCTATATTAGTGCAAAGAACAGATTTTTAAAAATGTTTCATTCATAAAGCATTGTTGGCAAGCTTTTTCACACTATAGATATTTTTTGAAAACAGTTGATTTCCTGGGTGTTGGGGCAGTGCATAGGAAACAAAACTTAAACAAACGTAACTCCTGTCCGTTATATGAAGCCATTACTAAGTTTACCAAATCCTCTACTGTCTCACAGGTAAACAGCTAGCATACTCGTACGACGCCCCCATATGAAGGGTAAAGGCAACATTTTAACAAACACACTCATCCACTGATGCTCCAATCCACTTTATCCCGTTTTAATCCATAATATGTTTGCATTACATTTCTTTTATCGCAAGATGATGTATCTTGCCATCTCAATGATCTGGTATCTTAATTCATATGAATAGTACTGAGAGACCGAGTTTTACTAGAATTCAATAAAACATACATTAAATAAATTACTTATTGAATCAAAACTTTTGCAATCATTTTCATTGCCCAGTTGCATTTGGATAATTTGTTGTTCATCTTTCCAGTTTCAGTATTAGGTGTAGCAAGGTATTTCATTTGTTTGTCTTTGCTGCATTTTATTTTTTAATTTGGAATGTTTTGAATATGTCTATTCCTTTGTACAAAGAAAGGTCAATGACAATAAAATTCTTGATTCTTGTTTCAAATTTTCTAATATTGTTTGCTTGGAATGTGGGTGCATAATGCTTATTCAATAATATCTCTTATCCGCTGACATAGCAAATTTATAGGTTTCAAGAACACTATTAATATCTACCAAATAAACTAACTTATTACAACTATTGTTGTGAATGTTTAGTCAAAACTAACCAATGCAGTTATTTTTGATTACATGTCAAATCATATTATGACAATAAAAATAGAGATGGACGGGTCCCGAAATTTCGGGAATTTTTCGGGAAAAAAATATTCCCGATTATCGGGACGGGATTACATTTGACTCGGGAATTTTTCGGGACGGGATTTGGTCCGATCGTCGGCGATTTTTCCGCTTCGCGAGTGCCGATAACGCCGTTATTGTGAGCGATAGGTCCGCGAACGCAGGAGACGAAGTCATTTCGACGATTACGCCGTGACCACGGAGTCATAACGACGATCGCGCCGTGGCCGCGATTATTGGACCGACGATCGCACCGTGACCGCGAGTCATAACGACGATCGCGCCGTTACCACGGAGTCATACTGACGATCATGCCGTGATGGCGAGTCATACCGACGATCACGCCGTGACCGCGAGTCATACCGACGATCGCACCGTGACCGCGAGTCATACCGACGATCGCGCCGTGACCGCGGAGTCCCTCCGACGATCGCGCCGTTACCACGGAGTCATACTGACGATCATGCCGTGATGGCGAGTCATACCGACGATCACGCCGTGACCGCGAGTCATACCGACGATCGCACCGTGACCGCGGAGTCCCTCCGACGATTGCGCAGTTACCGCGAAGTCCCTCCGACGATCGTGCCGTTACCGCGGAGTCATACTGACGATCATGCCGTGATGGCGAGTCATACCGACGATCACGACGTGACCACGGAGTCCTACCGACGATCGCGCCGTGACCGCGGAGTCATACTGACGATAGCCCCGTGACCCCGAGTCATGACGACGATCGCGCCGTGCCCGCGAGTCATACCGACGATCGCGTTGTGACCGCGAGTCATAACGACGATCGCGCCGTGACCGCGGAGTCCCTCCGACGATCGCGCCGTTACCACGGAGTCATACTGACGATCATGCCGTGATGGCGAGTCATACCGACGATCACGCCGTGACCGCGAGTCATACCGACGATAGCCCCGTGACCGCGAAGTCATACCAACGATTGCGCCCTGACCGCGAGTCATGACGACGATCGTGCCGTGACCGCGAGTCATGACGACGATCGCGCCGTGACCGCGAGTCATACCGACGATCGCGCCGTGACCGCGAGTCATACCGACGATCGCGCCGTGACCGCGAGTCATGACGATGATCGCGCCGTGACCGTGGAGTCATACCGGCGATAACCCCGTGACCGCGGAGTCATACCGACGATCGCGCCGTGACCGCGAGTCATGACGACGATCGCGCCGTGACCGTGAGTCATACAGACGTTCACCCCGTGACCCGCGAGTCACAAGTTTCTATAGGTACCTGTAAATTGTTACCAATTTTTTGGTTTTTATAGATCAGTGCCACAAATGGTAAAAATTGATTTCGTATGTCTTTTTTGGTAACTGCAATACAGTACTTTCTTTTTATGCACAGAAAAAAATCCCGTCCCGTCCCGTCCCGAAAATCGGGAAGGAAATAAAAATCCCGTCCCGTCCCATCCCGAACTAAAAATTCAATCCCGTCCATCCCTAAATAAAAATAACCTGTAACAGCTTTTTTTGTTAACTGCCGCTATAAAATGTGTTGCCGATAACATGGACACTTTCAAGGGCTGTATGATAAAAACCGGATTTTCCTAGCATTGTAACCAACTTCAATCGATTTTCTCGTGACCAAATACCCCATATTCAACAAAAAAATCAAAAACTCTCGGACGAAAATAAAAGTTTGCTTATACATGCGCTTGTTTTAGATATAGGATTCAAATATTTGGCAACCACTCACCTTGATATCCTTCTCCTGTCCAAGGGAGACTATTCCAAAGTTGGTGTTTTCAGATATAACGATGCCTTGTTTGTCTTGTAGCAGTGATGTCAATGTTTGATCCTGTGATGACTGTATGGCTTTCTCCGAAGTTGCAACCACTTGCACTGCCCTCCATGTCAGTTGACCTTGATCACTTTCAATGCAGTAAACGGTTACCTGTTATGTGAGATCAAACACTGTTTTTTAGTTAGTGTCAATGCTATATTCGAGAGTGTGTTTTTTCTCAGCCCTTTAAATTCCTATAGCAATATATTTAACACAAGATTAACATAACAAATCATCCACTTAACAACTATCTATGTGAGTTTAGCTCAACAAAAGTTGAAAGCTTCACGACATGTGCTGTTACCTGACAGTCAGTTTAGAACTACAACTCTAGGGCTTTAAGTAGGCAAGTGTTGGGAGTACGGTATACTGTCAGGTCTATCTGATAAATGTAGCCTAAGGCGTTGTCTCCCGTACTAAGAGTCAGCGCTGAAGATTCAGGGTTTGAATCTCATCTTGATTAGATCTGCTGTGCAACTCTAAATACATTTATACTAGGGATGGACGGGATTGAATTTTTAGTTCGGGACGGGACAGGACGGTATTTTTATTTCCTTCCCGATTTTCAGGACGGGACAGGACGGGATTTTTTTCTGTGCATAAAAAGAAAGTACTGTATTGCAGTTACCAAAAAAGACATACAAAATCAATTTTTACCATTTGTGGCACTGATCTATAAAAACCAAAAAATGGGTAACAATTTACAGGTACCTATAGAAACTTGTGACTCGCGGGTCACGGGGTGATCGTCTGTATGACTCACGGTCACGGCGCGATCGTCGTCATGACTCGCGGTCACGGCGCGATCGTCGTCATGACTCGCGGTCACGGGGTTATCGTCGGTATGACTCGCGGTCACGGGGTTATCGTCGGTATGACTCCACGGTCAGGCGCGATCGTCGTCATGACTCGCGGTCACGGCGCGATCGTCGTCATGACTCGCGGTCACGGCGCGATCGTCGGTATGACTCCGCATGACTCCGCGGTCACAGTCAGGACGATCGGACCGAATCCCGTCCCGAAAAATTCCCGAGTCAAATGTAATCCCGTCCCGATAATCGGGAATATTTTTTTCCCGAAAAATTCCTGAAATTTCGGGACCCGTCCATCCCTAATGTATACATTTCACTGCTGTTCATACCCTTGACCGTCTAGTAAAATTAAATTCCCTCACACTACCACTAGTTTTTGAGCATCTTCATAAGAGCTCCTTACCAATGCTCAACATCGATACAACTCAGTACAACAGTTGGTCAAGGTCCTATTTTAAAAATGTTTGTTATAGATATTGAAAAACCAAATCACCACACTGTAAATCGTAGACTCACAAATCGGTGTTTACCTGATCCCCAACTCTGGGCAGATATCCAGGCTCACAAGCGTCTTTGCTGAACACCACCTCTCCATCTACAATGCCGAGCTGACAATCGGGTGTCCAGTGGCTCACCTGACCCTCGCGAGTGCAGCTACGCAGTGGACTCACCCGATCTACCATCAACACCGTGTCTCCCTCGGACTGGGGTTGTACCAGCGAGCTAAGACTCACCCAGTCACCTGTCAAAAATATCATCAGTGCTAGAGTTCTGAGTTAAACGGTTTAGTTTAGAAAGGATTGCCATGTCAAAAAACGTTAAAATTATCATAGTTGAATTGAGCCACAGAGAAGAGTGAGCTACTGTCAATTAATTACTGATCTCTTTTATATACAAAAACCTTTTAACCAAGCTAAACTTAATGAATTGCTTTACCTAAACAGTCAAGGATGGAAGAGCTCATACTCACCCTCTACAGGAATAAAATCTATCTCTACTGAGTCTAAAGAAAATTGGACATCCTCAGCAAAGACTGTTCGACCTTTTCTCCCTGTGATCTTCCCAATTACGTGTTTGTAAGCGGTCTCACACTCCTCCCTGCAAAATCAATGCCAAATTAACATAGAGGCCTACTACATCTACATAAGAACTTATTTTACTATTATGAAAATATTTAAATTTTCTTCAGTTATTTATTTGGTTAGTTTTAGACAATTTACATTTCACTAAAGTCAAAATTCCTATATATTTAATTTTGCATAGCATGAGCAATTTATTGAATGAGAGTAGGGAGAGAACAATTTCATTTTGTCATTTCAGCAGTGAGAAAAAATGTATAGCACCTACCATGATTCACACAACTACAAGCACACCAACATTACCGTCAAAGTGAGAGGGGAACCTGCATGATTGCCACAAATTATGATGGGAAACAAGAAAATCTTATCAGAAAAGTACAATGCGAATGCATAACCATAACCAGCATTACCATATTAACAGTATTAACATATATAAATGGTAATATTGTGAAAAAATCTTGGTAGGAGAGTGATTACAGTGCTCACCAAATATTCCAAAGGTTGCCAGTTTGATCCTGAGAAAGGTCAGAAACTTTTTGATGAATTGAAAATGGACCCAGTTGTCCTTGATAAGTGGGCAAAGTCCTGGCTAAAATACTGGTGGTTTTTAGTCAGTAATACACAATGCTCCTACATCCATATTTGAGATAAAAATATGTCAAATTGCATCCCCAAGTTAATTTTTACCATAACAATGGTAATAATAATACAATATTTTTATTGCCACTTACTTGACAACAGACTGCTGAGTGTTGTCTTCTTCTTCATCTTCATTTTTATCATCCCAGCGTTCATTGTCGACATACAACACCTTCCTGACAACCCAGTCACTATCCTCAGCTAAGCGGAAAGCAAGAAACACAACACGGTTGCCAACCTTAAGGTTTTCTGGAGCATTCTTCAACTGGAAGTACAAAGGGCGATTTTCTCCCTCTTCTCCACTAGAAGCCTGTATTAAATAAGATTATACAATCAAAATGCAAAAACTACAGTAATCGGTATTACAAGACCTGAAGGTGACTCTTAGCCAAGACCTTAAGCTGGTAAATGAGTTAGAAAACAATAGGCCTACTTGGTCAGACAGGGGAGCAGGCTGGTCTATGAATTATTAATTATTTTGGTAGAGCACAATGCTTCAATTACCGAAGTCTTGTATTCGAATTCTCGCAAACACCAACGGCTTTACCAGTAATTCTACGACCCTCTTGGCCTAGCCTGAAGTAAAATGTAAAACAATTCCAAACTAAAGCTAGCACCATAAAATGTAAAAGAACGTTTTAAAAATTAATTTTTTTTAAATTGGCAAAGTAAGTTTTGAGTTTTAGAGTTTTTAGAGTTTAGGATTTGCAGGGTAACAAAAAACAAATAACTATGAACAAGGACTTACACTAGTGATGTATCCATGAGTCTGATACAGTTCTGTGATGACTCCTGTCCTGTGTTGACAAGCGACCTGGCCTTCAACGGTGTTGTCAACCTTAACGTCATCTTCAAGGTCGCTGTGGTGTGTTTCGTCCTCAGCATCTAACACTGCTGCCACTGCGTCCCAGTCCACCTGAGGCTCTGGACGGCTCAGTCCCAGCAGCTGACCTACTTTGGTGACTGCTGACCACATCCCGTCCCTGTAAAACTGCAAACGTTAGGTTATTCTATAGGATGAGGTAGGTTGTTGGCTTGCTTAAACCATGAAATTTCTTTACAAAATTGTATGTATTATTACATGTATGTACCTCTCAATGCCAGTGACCACTGGTTGCCAAAAAAGTGCACACCCTAGTTGTTCCAACTGACAGCACCCTAAGTCTGTACATCACAGAGAGTAGTAGAAGGCGGATGATTTAGGTACAAAATGGTAGGTATAAACACATTTACTTTTAGATACCTTGATATCTAATTCATTGACCGGCTGTAGCCATTTTTTAATTCAAATATAACATAGTTGAACAGCCTATCTCAGAGTGTGCTACTAGTTTTTGATACTAAGAAAGTTGACGTCATATAAATGTTATATTTTACCATCATTAACTGGCTCAGTATAAATAGAAACCAGTAGGCCTAATTCACAGCAACAAGCACTCTTTTGGACATTAATTTAACAACTGCATTAATTTCAAATTTCAATTGTAAAACTGGCTACAGATTTAACATAGAATAGGATGTTATATGGAATGGGACGTATCCTTCTACTCATAGTCAAAAGTATTTAAATATGTCCATGATCCAAGACACTTAGTCACAATCAACTATATGATATTCCACAACGCTAAACTGTGTTGGCTTGCAGGCAAACTGCAGTCTAACTAGAACATTGAATCCCCTACAACAGCAAAGTATAATTTGTTTATAAGAACCTTTTACTGTCCGATGTAGATATCTATGGGTGAATATCTCCAAGAAGTAGTCTGGAGAAAGTCAAGTTCTTTTCTCAAGTTTTTAAGTCGCTTCTGATGCGCTTCTTTCTCTATCTGAGCACTGCTTTTCTCAATGGCTTCTTCAAATTTGAGTCTGCTCAGAATTATGGATGATGTGTTGTTAAGACTCGTGTTCAATGTGGATCCTTGATTGTCACTCTGACTCGGAGAAGACAAAACAGCTTTTGGTAGAGAATTCATTGGTGCCATAATCCCATTACCTACAAATCAAACTAATTTTTAGTGTCCTATTATTACGTTTTATAGGAAACATTGGTCATACAATTTGCAAGTTTTAAAACGCTTGAGATCAGTACAGTAATTATTTCCTTAACACTCACATATAATTAAAATCATGCATTTTTTATAATATTAAATTGTCAATTCCAATTTGTTATTACGATTTAATTAAGGCCCTGTCACACAGTGCTTGTTTCAGTAGCTAGTTCTAGAAGTCCTGTCAGGCGGAGCTGAGTAACTAGCGCTACAAGACGGGTTTGGTGTTGGGATTGGCAATGTATGTGAAAACAAAAATAATGTTAATTGATACTGAGAGGTCTTACCTAAGCAATCCTATTTGATCAATCCAAAATTAATTTGGGACCCGGAGATCCATCATCAGTTGGAGTCTAGGTTGACAAAATTTTTTTTATTATGGAACTTCGGATCTGAAATTAATTTCGGATTGATGAAATAGGATTGCTAAGGCAATACCTACCTTTCAATATCAATCAGTTATAGGATGCAATCCAGAGGCTAAAATGATTGATAAAAATAATATCGTCTGTTGGCATTAGACATATATTTTGTGATCAGTAACCATCACAAAATTAATACCCTTGCGCAGCAAACCTAGCAGACTAAGCGAATTTCTATTTACACAGGTGAATTTCTACTAAAATATTCCCTGAAATTTTCAGATTTATTTCCTATTTAAATAACTTGAATGAGTACTTAGGTTTGCTGCTACAGGGAAGATATTGAGGTGTGTTTTTTATTGAAATGTTGATAGCTTAGTATGAAATAAAGAAAATTGCCAATTTGATCAAAATATATCCATAAACAAGCAAATAAAACTACAACTGTTTATTTATCTCCATAAAAATAATATATGAGTTTTAAATTTACAGTTTTTGTTTTATCATCCCTGTAACCGTTAGGCATACACTAAAGCTTCAATATACAAAATTATTTCTTTTTTTTAAGCTCTACAAAATGGTCCGAAAAGAAATTGTGAAATTTTATATTTTTGGAGTCAAAAATGGGAAAAACTAATTTTTACCCCATAAACTCCCGTTTCCATAGTCCGGTCATGCTGATTCGAGAACAAGTTCGAATAATCGTAGGTTTACACGTTTTAACTAAATTTCATCAAAATCAAAACAGATCATTTTTGCTCGAGTTATCGCGCTAATGGGCATAGGCTATATATATACAAATATACTGTAAATATTCTGTGTATATGAATTTCAACGGAGGGTATTTTTGGCCTCTGGGGACCTCAAAACTAAAAAGTTAATCGGTCCCGGGTATAGGTCTTACCATGAGACGGTAATAGCTTATTCCCTATATATGGAAAATCTAACTAATATTATAAATGTGAAAGTTTGGGAAAAGCATGGGGACTGAAAAAACGTCTGCATTCTAATCAGCTGTTGCTTATTTACTTGTAATGTTTACATTTATTCCGAAAGTCAAAGTTGTTGAATAATGTTTCAAAATGAAATGTATTAGTTTAATTTTTTGGTTTTCCGTTTTTATAATGAGTGAAGTAACTGGAAGATTTTCCAGGAATCTTTTTTGTTTTCCGTTTTTAGCGAATTTCCCATATAGGGAATAAGCTATTACCGTAGTACTCATGGTAAGACCTGGACGCGGGACCGATTTTTTTTTTCGTTTTGAGGTCCCTAGAGGCCAAAAACACCATCCGTTCAAATTCATATATATATATATATATATTTGTATATTTATATATATATATATATATATATATATATATATATATATATGTGTCCGTCAGCACGATAACTCGAGCAAAAATGATCCGATTTTGATGAAATTTGGTACAAACGTGTAAACGTACGTTTATTCGAACGAGTTCGCGATCCAGCATGATCGGACCATGGGAACGGGGGTTTACGGGGGGTTTTATGGGGTAAAAATAGGTTTTTCCCATTTTTGACCTAAAAAACATAAAATTTAGCAATTTCTTTCCAAACCATTTTGTAGAGCTTAAAAAAACAAATAATTTAGTATATTGAAGCGTTATTATGCGCCTAATGGTTACGGAGAAAATTCCAAAAAATTGTAAATTTAAAAATTCTCATGTTATTCTTATGGAGAATAAGTAAACTGTTGTAGTTTGCTTGTTTGTGAACATATTTTGATCAAATTTGGAAAATGTTTTTATTTCTTACTAACTATTCACATTTTACAAAAAAAAAGTTTTACCCTCCCTGATGCAGCAAACCTAAGTACTTGTTAAACTAATTCTATTTAAATCAAGAATAAATGTATTTTTAAGTAGACATTTCAGTGTAAATACAATCAGTCAAATGGAAATTCGCTTAGTCTGCAGGTTTGCTGCGGCGGGGGTATTATAATGAGTGATGTAACTAGACAGGGTAGGAGAAGACCTGCAAGACGTGGAAGAGTATCCAGGAATTCAACTAACACAAGAAATGCTGAAAGAGAACGTCATGTAAGGCCTAAATATGAAAGAAATCTACAAGCTGGTTTACAACCTGCCTTCAGAAGAATGCTGGAAAATGAGTTGAGTGTTGTTTCTCACAATCTAGGTCCTTTTAACAGCACTTGCATGCATTGAGGCGCATTTCACTTCACAGAGGAGGCCACAAATGGACATTTTGACACATGTAGCCACAATGGACTCATTAACATGCCACAACCACAATTAAATCTATATCTATAAAAGAGGAACTATGTATGTATGTGTGTGTGTGTGTATATACGTTATGGACTCCGAAACCGCTCGACAGATTGTAATGAAACTTTCAGGCATTATTAAGCATCTTTTAAGGATGGTTCGAGTGAAGTTTAGTGCAGATCTGTCAAAAGGGCTCTGCCCCAGAGGGTTTTAAGTGGGCCAATGTCAGACTTTTTGATCTACAATGTTTACAAATAAATATATTTTAAAAGCAGATGTTTACTTTCACCAACTGTTTTGTAGGTTTGAATAATCACAACATTCTGTATTAGCATTAGTCATGATTTGAAATAGTGCCACAGTGTTTCTACAGATTGCAGCACAGACAACTATTTTACTTTTGAATAAGTCCAAATGTATTAAACCCCAATCGCAGCACACCTGTGCACTTAACAACGTTTAAATTCTCCAATGTTAAATATTAAAACATAAAAACCTTTATCAAAGTACTGTATTATAAACAATAAAAGGGATGACTCTTTTAAATTTATAACAACAGCTAATTTGCAGCCAAAAGGAGAGTGAGCGTAGCGAACGAACATCAACCTGGAGGCGAGTAAGCGTAGCGAACGAGCTAACCTGAAAATAAATGAGCGCAGCGAACGATTTCCAACCTGAAGGTGAGTTAGCGTAGCGAACGAACTTCAACCAGGACGTGATTGAGCCATGCGAATACTTATGAAGTTAAGCGGGGCAAAGCCCGCGGGTACAGCTAGTGAAAAACTAAAAGTAATGTTTTTACATGATTCTAACTTAATAAAAAAACATAAGGCAATACAACCGTGCAATGGCTTTTGCGTCGACTTCCGCTCCACAAAAAGAGATTCCGGGAAATGGGCCTTACTGTTTTAAAATTCAGGGACAAATTCATAGATATATTTTTGACTTACTACCGCGAAATGGGGAGTTGCCTTCATATGGACAATTGTGTCTAAATTAGGGGCTATGGCCCCTATAGGTCACTAGTTAGCTAAAAAATAGTGCAAGGCAAAATTTTAACGTAAAAATAAAAACACTATTATACACTTATGGGCTTGTAAGTTAACAAATTAAAAATAAATGTTGTGGTATGCCTGTCACAAACGATCTTTATCTTCTACCAACATAAAAATCACATTCATTTAGTTGATATATAGCAATATAGGCCTATAGCGGTATTTACTCAGGGGAGGTATGGATGAGCTTACGATGACAGCTGTGGGCTTCTCATTAGCTGAGGGAACACCATTAGCGTAACAATACGGTTTGCAGCCATCGGCCTCTAGTCATTGTGCTCTAGTGATTAGCGTGTCAGGCTGATATGCTGAGAGTCTCGGGTTCGAATCCCGCTGGTGGCACTAACTTTTTGACTAAGCTTTTTTCATTATCAGCAAGTTTGGTTGGTTTGGTTCGGTTATGACAGTTTAATTTTATTATTAAGTCATTATAAAATTTTAATTGAGCAATTTCTCAATAAAGGAATTTTATGAAAATTATGGAAATTAACAAGTACAATACACTATTGTAATTCTTAACGAATGAACAATAAAGAATATTGTATTGTATTGTATTGTACACCAATCCTCGCCCTTTAAAATACATAATGGTGTACGGAAAAAGTAGGCCTATCGGATCCGTGTTGTAATTCAAGGGAGAAAACAATTCAATTGAGCACTAGGCCTACCCAAATAGCAAGCCATTGTTTAGGAAATTCAACATACTCACTATACCTGCAATGTATATTTTTGAATGTCTGTTGTTTATTAAAAGAAATTTACATACTATACCTACAAATAAAAATGTTCATAACTATTTCATTAGAAACTGTACGGTAACTCACTTAGAATTTCCCAGTGTAATTTAAAAATTACTCTGAATTGTTTTGTTGAAATGGGAAAAAAACTGTATAATTCTCTACCCTCTCATTATAAATGTTTAGAATTTAACTGTTTTAAGAAGAACGTTAAGCACCTTTTGATTAGTATTAGTCCATATGACATAAATGAGTTTTTCCTTAATGTTAATGACCATGTATAGTATAACTAAAAATGTCTGTGATTATCTGTGGACTGTTTTATAGTTATATTTATTATTTAACTAGTTGACACTGCATGCATTGTAAAAGGTTCTGGCAATAAAGATTTGATTTGATTTGAATAATTAATGTACAATTGTTTAACGACAACTAACATAACCTAAGATAAATAGCCTAAATTAGGCCTGTTATATACATTTTTCTTTAAACAAACAATGTTTGTAAAAACTTGTTAAGCCTAAGTTAAGTATCATGAAGTTGAAATAAATGGATACAAACTTCTATGGGACATACATTTATTTAAAAAAAATCTGAAGTAAAACTTAGGGTCTTGAACATTATGCAATAGTTATTGAAACGATTAGTTTTATAAATAAACAAACGTGTTTTTCTTTGATATATTGTTCATTGATTTTAAAAACCCAGAGCCCCTACTAACTGCAGGTAAAATCAAGATATTTTCTAAAGACTTCCAAATGGATCTAGATTTTTATTGAATTAATTAAGGACAATTCCACTTATTAATTTCTCCAAACTCTGGATTCGTTTCAATAGTTTAGCTCTTTCCCCAGTTTTACCCTTGAATCTGTAATTGAAAGTCTCATCTTTTTTGGAAAATTTGTCATGAAGACAATTCTTACAAGCACAACGACTTAGTTCTGAATTGTGTGAAAGATCTGAAAAGCTAGGTGATGAAGCTCGATTCCTTGTTGGGGTGAAGGGTCTTTTCAATCTCTCTCTTTTAGCTCTACCTAAAGCAGATTCATCACTTGAACTGCATGTTACATCCCGAAAACTTCTGGCAGAATGTGCTTTTCTTTCTTTTGATACAGGTCTACTTCTATTAAAGGGCTTTTCTGCACAGCTCATAGTACGGCACTTTCTTTTTGGAGAAATCAGATTACTTTTTTTTGTGTACAACTGATAGAGAGGATTAACATTTGTAATCCTTGACCTATTAATTGGATATTGCAAATGGTTTTCTGATCTTATGATGTCTTCTAGTTGGGATGCTAATAAAATATTATCTTTTTTTAACTTATCTACAACAGACTTCTCAAAATGGAGTTTATCTTCCAGCTCATTTATATGGTTCTGTAAAGCATATATTTCCTTATGACAATCTTTGTTTATTTTTAAAGATGTCAATTTTTTAATTTGTTCCTTTAACGAAACATTCTCTGTAGTAATATTAACAACCCTTTTTTGCAAAGCATCTATTTCGCTCTTTATGTTAGCATAATCATTATTCACAAGTTGGAATTGCAATTCAGCAACCTGCTTCTCAAGTCTTTCAATTGTTTCTTGAAGAACTCTTGGATCAGGAGGTCCACAATACTCTAGAGCTAAGGGATAGTGAATTCGATCAAACTCAACTGTGTATGTAACCATGAGATAGCGCCTATTGTTTGTTGACGAAGCTAATATTTGAGTTGTATGTACACTAAAACTTCTGGGTTGAGTTGATCTGCTTCTTAACATTTCAAGGTCCTCAAACTTCAATAAATCCAAAGTGACACAATGACTAGTGCTCAAAAGGGCTGACTTTAACATTGATATGAATGTATCAAACCGTTTATAGTTTCCAGTTTTGAGAGTGAGGTTTTCAATATAGGAAGCATTGTAGGAACCTATCCATTCTTCAGATGTTTTTTTATCGGTAACTTTGACTTCAATTGTTTCAGGTTGCTTCACAGTTCTGAGACTAACAACATACTCTCTCCCTCTAAATTCGCATGAAGTTACAAGGTTTATGTCTGTATTCATTTTATGATTAAGTTACTCACTTCTGGAACTTTTAGACTAGGAATGATAGATCTTATTTTTGTTTTGCAAAAGGCAGTAAATTACAGCATGCAAGCAGTAAAATAGGTGTAGCCCTGCCAACAATTGTAAGCCAAAGTCCTGATGCTGAAAGTATTATACAGTTTACTTCATCAAACAAATTATGAAGTAACTTACAGAGTAGGCCTATTCCTTGGATAGGCCTAGGCCTAGGCCTACCATTCTTAAACAAGTGTTCACCGGAATTATTATAACCTTTATTACACTTACCCAGAACAGAAATGTTTCCAATAAACCCTGGTCTGCCTACTTCACAATAGTTGTGTTAATTGTCTTTATATTAGAGCAGGACAAACAGTGAAAATGAATTATATTTTGATGGTTCAAACAATTTTCACACTTCCCTTAAAATGTTTGCACTTATAAAATCGCATACCGTACCATTTATTTGTAGGCTAGTTTTCAAATGAACCTATACTAATACTAAATTTATAATTAATTAATAATCTTTCTAGGTTAATTTCTTAATCAAAGTGATCAAAGTACATAACAAACTACCTACAAAAATTAAGAAAACAGAACGGAACACAGCAGCACAGAGAGAAGGAGAGAACACAGAAGACAGAAGAAGAGAAGATTAGATAGATTGATTGAATAGAATGAAATGCAAAAACAAAACAAAACTGAGTCACACACAACAACTGAATCCTCCTGAGTCAGTCAAGTCCAAGTCACACAGCGACGTGAAGCTGGCCCGCCCATTCCAGCACATTTTAGCGAATTTCCCATATAGGGAATAAGCTATTACCGTAGTACTCATGGTAAGACCTGGACGCGGGACGCACAATTTTTATTTCAGCTGCAGTTATTTTAATAAGAACAAAATGAGAGCATCCTATTGGCTGAGGGAACACCATTAGCGCAATGAAACGGGTAGAACTCATCGGCCTCGGTGGTCTAGGGGATAGCGTGCCGGGCTACCAAACTTATGGTGCCGGGTTCGAAACCCATCGGGTGCACCAACTTTTTGTCTAAGATTTTTTCATTATCAGCAAGTTTGGTTAGTTTTGTTAGGTTATATCAGTTAAATTTTATAATTAAAACCTTATAAAATTTAATTTGAGCTATTTATAGTTTTATTTTATGAACAGAACTATTTTTTCGATTAGTAAACCTTCATTCAATTTTTTCATTGTCAGCAAGTTTGGTTAGTTTGGTTAGGTTATGACAGTTTAATTTTAAAAAATTAAAAAATATAAAATTTAATTTGAGGCGTTTATAGTTTTATTTTATGAACAGAACTATTTTTTTCTATTATTAAACCATTATTCAATTTTTTCATTATCAGCAAGTTTGGTTAGTTAGGTTAGGTTATGACAGTTTAATTAAAAAATTAATTATATATTTTTTTTTTAGTTTTAGGCCTATAATAATTATTCTTTTTAAATTTCTAATTTTTAAACTCTTATTTTGTCCGTATTAAAAAACTGCAGCTGAAATAAAAATCGTGCACGCGGGACCGATTTTTTTTTCGTTTTGAGGTCCCCAGAGGCCAAAAACACCATCCGTTCAAATTCATATATATATATATATATATTTATATATATATATATATATTTATATATATATATATATATTTATATATATATATATATTTATATATATATATATATATGTGTCCGTCAGCACGATAACTCAAGCAAAAATGATCCGATTTTGATAAAATTTGGTACAAACGTGTAAACCTACGTTTATTCGAACGAGTTCGCGATCCAGCATGATCGGACCATGGGAACGGGTGTTTACGGGGGGTGTTATGGGGTAAAAATAGGTTTTTCCCATTTTTGACCCAAAAAACTTAAAATTTTGCAATTTATTTCCAAACCATTTTGTAGAGCTTAAAAAAACAAATAATTTAGTATATTGAAGCGTTATTATGCGCCTAACGGTTACGGAGAAAATTCAAAAAAATTGTAAATTAAAAATTCCCATGTTATTCTTATGGAGAATAAGTAAACTGTTGTAGTTTGCTTGTTTATGAACATATTTTGATCAAATTTGGAAAATGTTTTTATTTCTTACTAACTATTAACATTTTACAAAAAAAACAATTTTACCCTCCATGATGCAGCAAACCTAAGTACTTGTTAAACTAATTCTATTTAAATCGGGAATAAATGTTATATAAGTAGACATTTCAGTGTAAATCCAATCAGTCAAATAACTAAATGAAATGAAGCCTTTAGTGTCAAACCCAAATAACATGCATTTGATATAGGAAAATTAGGTTTTTTGTTATTTACACAAAAACTAAAAGAGATACGAAGTAAGTGTAAATTACAAAGTTGTTTGGAATTGAAAAACCTATAAAATGATGTGCCACTTGACATATGTTGCTATTTGAAAATTTTAAACAATGAGCATTTGTAAATTTTTAAAAATAATTTTTTTTGTAATTTTTATTATTTCAAAAAACCGTTACTTGTTGCATATCACAGTAAAGCTAATATCATAACGAGTAAGAAAATGCAACCGGAGAAGTGCTAAATGCATTGGTATAGGAAATACAGAGTATTAAAAAATATAGATTTCTTTCAAAAAAACTGCCGCCATTTTGAAACGGAAAAAGATAACTAATTTTGGTTTTCGCCAAAATGTTTGTCTATCAAATACCTTTAAAATGATGTATAACATGACATATGTTTACATTTGAAAATTCCGAGATTCGAACTAGTGACCCTCAGTTTTTGGCACATTCTGTATTTGAAAAAAGTTAAAAATATTTTTACGTTATTCCTTGGGGTCGATTTAGTTGGAAATAATTTTATTTCATCCTTGTACGTTAAGCCGTTTTCCAGTAATCGATTTGAGACACCTCTCGAGGGACACCCTGTATATATATATAGATTTATATATATAAATATATACGTCCGTGAACGCGATAACTTGAGTAATTTTTGTCCGATTTTGATGAAATTTGGTTTAAAGGTGTAAGGTGGGATAAACTTGAATGAGTTCGCGAACCAGCATGATCGGACCATGGGAACGGGGTTTTACGGGGGGTTTTATGGGGTAAAAATTGGGTTTTCTCATTTTTGACCCTCAAAACACAAAATTTCTCAATTTCTCTCTAGACCTTTTTAAAGAGTTTAAAAAAACAAATAATTTAGTATATTGAAATGTTTTTGTACGGTTATTGGTAACGGAGAAAATTCAAAAAATTATATATTTAAAATTCCCTTGTTATTCTTATGGAGAATATTGTAAAATGTTGTAGTTTGCTTGTTTATGGATATATTTTGATCAAACTTGGCTAATTTATTTATTTTATACTAAGCTATTAATATTTTAGTAAAAAATACACTTTATTAGTTTCCTTGTAGCAGCATACCTAGGTACTCGTTAAACCTAATGTTATTTAAATAGGTTTAATTGAAAATCCATTCAGACAAATGGAAATTCGCTTAGTCGGCAGGTTTGCTGCGGCGGGGGTATTTTTTAATGTATACAAAAAAGTGTGCTCTTTATAACGGTTATTAAAAAAAAGTTTGCTCTTCTAATAATTATGACATATTCAACTGTTTTTGCCAGCCGTGATTCTGGCCCGCCCATTTCAGCTACAGATCTATAAACCATACCAAAAAACTGTGCTGAAAGTGTGCTCACAGGAATCATTGTAAAAAAAGTGTGCCACCCCCGTTACTAAACAAATAACCCCTAGGTAAGGGTAATAAAATGACCCAGCTCACCCATTTCAGCTACAGATCTATAAACCATGCCAAAAAAACTGTGCTGAAAGTGTGCTCACAGGAATCATTAATACAAAAAAGTGTGCCACCCCCGTTAAACAAACAACCCCTAATTGGTAAGGGTAATAAAATGACCAGCCCGCCCATTTCCAGCTCCAGATCTATAAACCATACCATAAACCTGTCCTGAAAGTGTGCTCACAGGCCGACCACCAGGTCTTCCAGGCGTCCAACACCCTCGAAGAATGTCATCGATTATAGTTTTACAGTAATAACTAAATCTAATGCCAGCATTGATTATAGGCAATGGTGTTTTGGCGAATTTCCCATACTGTATAGGGAAAATAAGCTATTACCGTAGTACTCATGGTACCGGACCCGGGACCGATTTCCTTTTTTCGTTTTGAGGTCCCTCCCAAGAGCAAGAGGCCAAAACACCAACCGTTCAAATTCACATACACATATATATATATATATATATATAATTTTATAAAAAAGTTTGTTATTGCAAAAACGAGCATTAAAAATCATGTACAATGTTGATTTTAGTACACACAGTAAACCATTATTTATGGAGGATAATATTTTAACTGTACAAGCAATGTATATTTTAAGCTGCCTTGTGTTTGCAAAAATAGTTTTACCTTTTTACCTTTACCTTTTACCTCTTCTTTCTTCACCACAATCCTCAGATCGGGGAGTCGTCAAAATTTCTCCTTCTTCATCTTCTTGGCAGCCTTTCAGCTAGCCCAGTGTAGGTGTGTATAAGTGTGTTCTTGTATGTATTCCTTTGTTGAGTAATATGGTTTGTTTATAAGGTAGTTTTTTAGTGTGTTTACAAATGTGGTATGATTTGAGATGTTTTTAATTTTTTCTGGCAGAAGATTTATGTATTTGGATCCTGTGTATGTTGGGGTGTTGCTGAATTTTTTTAGTCTGTGTTGTGGCAGGTTTATATTGTTTTTGTGTCTGGTGTTGTGATTATGATAATGTGACCGGAGTGTTGGATTGGATTTTTTTGCAAGGATTATGGTTTCTAGGATGTATTGTGAGAAAACGGTGGGGATTTTGAGCTGGATGAATAGGGGTCTACAATGTTCCAGATAGTGTGTCCTGCATATCGTCCGTAGTACTTTCTTTTGTAGGATAAGTAGTTTGTCCATATTGTTTGCAGATGATGATCCCCATGTTGCAATTCCGTAACTCAGGTGAGAAGCAAAAAGCGAGAAGTAGGCTATTCTGGAGGTTTCTTCGTCGGTTATGGTGCGAATTCGTTTGATGCCATAGTGTGCAGAGGCCAGTTTTTTACACAAATGTTCGATGTGTTGCTGCCAGGATAAATTTTTATCAACAATTATTCCCAGGAATTTAGTGGTTTCTTGCGTTGTGATACTGATGTTGGTCCAGTCGCTTTGATCTTCTCTTTAGTAAAACAGACACGCATAATATGTGCACAGTTACAACACAAGAAACCGTTGCGATATATTATATCCTAGACGTGTCAATACAGCTGACATCAGCTCATGAATTCACACTTTATTGATTTAAATTTAAATGTATGAACATAAATTTATTAAGATATTGAAAATGAAACATACAGAATTGAAAACCGAAACAACATGAATTAAAATCTATATCTGTACATCTTCAGTTCGAAGGCCGCGGTCTGGAGTTAAAAGCGGCCGTGATACAGCACCACAGCTACTAGTTTTATTGAAAAGTCCAAACGACATTATTATAGGCTACTTGAAAAAAACATAAAAATGTTAACTGGGTTAGCGTATCGGACTCAAGAGGATTAAACATTATGTTAAACCATAGATAAAACTCCCTTTAGGTTAAACCACTGGTTAACATGACTGTGTCGGATTTCAGTGCGGGAGGGATGGGTTCGATTCCCGTCAAATACTCAAAACATGGATTTTCCTTTTCCCAAAAACCGTTTCAATAGTACCATAGATAAACATAGTTTATGTTTTATCTATGGTAATACACTCTATTTCGTATCCTCTGAAATACCATCGTTGAGGACAGAAAAATGTTATTGAACTAATAGGGATTTTTATTATTTTAATGTTTTATATTACACTTTTTATGCAAAGCGGAAAATTATTGATTCAAACCATTGCAAAATATATTTAATAATTTATAAGCATTGTTTTTATTTTAAAGTATGTATTACCAGTTATATTACAGAAATATTTGCAAAAGTAGGTATATTTGTGTATACTAGTGTTGTGTTGTGGGAAATCCTGTTTTGGCAGTTTGCCAGCCATTCATATTATCCATTTATCCATTCCCATCCCATTGAATCATCCATCAAACTCAAAGTGTCATTTTACATTTTCATGTAACTTTGTTAATTTTCTCGCACAATTAAAACATCCTATGAAGGGATTTAATGTGTTATTTATTAGTCAGATATTTTATTTTGAATCTTTGCATGGGGTGGTATAATATTAGACAACTCCCCCGTTAAAATACCACCCACTGACAAAATTCTTACTCAAGTGCTAGTGGAATGGCTGCCATATTGAGGTGCAAGGTGGAGCTGTAGAAAGCGGAAATTAGCTTATTAAAGTTAACTTGAATAGCAGTTCTTTTTTGTGATGACTTTATAATTTATACAACCAAAACACTCTGATCAGTTAATGGAAACTTCTTCTCGTTCGTGGAACAAGCCTTGTTTATGTAAGTAATGTCATTTATTTAGTAAACAGATTAATGAATTTTGATGAGCACTTGAAGAGATTCATTAGTCTGCCACCTTTGTAGCCTAATAAAAACACTTTTCTTTAGTTTTAGGTCTACTAGGCCAAAAAATGAAAAGTTAAGTCATACCTAAGACCTTTGTTAAACCAGCCAAGGCAACCAGAAGTCTATTCACTGGAAAATAACTTGGGGCTATGGTAAGGTTTAGTCTACTTACCTAGGCCTATCTCTTTCGTTAGGCTAGTCTAGAAGACTATGAAGGATGAGTTGCATCGACTAGTCAGATCGAAATGGATTTTTTTTATCGGGCACTTTTTTACAATTTGACAGCAACTTGTTTTGACACTTGCATTCAGTGTAGGTAGCCTAAGTATTCTGTCACATAGAAAATCCTTGAAGATGATTTGAATAGGGATGTTGCGATACCACGGTCTTTCCGATATTTGGTATCGATACCGTATCGCAAAAAAGTATCGATACCGGCTCAGTATCGGAACTAAAGTATCGATACCATTAGTATCGTATCCATTCGATACCAGTGACGTCATATTCTGATTCACTGATCTTCGATTAAAGTTTACTCGTTCCAGTACAGTGCAGCTAATATAGGATTCGAATTCAAGCTGCTAAAAACTACCTAAATATGTAAAACATTGATAAAATCAAAGATTACATGCGTTAGCATATGTAATCTTTGATAAAATTAACCAAACATAGCCAACCATTGTTTTCAATTTTACCTTCAAGTATAAGTTCAAGTAGGCCTAAGCTTACCTTACGTTCTAGGCCTATATAATTTATCTTTTCAATAGACAATGTTATTAAATTACCAACGTAACACATTCGTGTTTACCATCAGCCTAAAAAAAGTTTTTTAGTTAAATAACTTTAAGTGCGGTGCCATCTTTTTAGTTTATTTGATGTTAAATAGTCCATGGTTTCATTTTATTTGCCTAACACAACGTTGCTAACATTGACTTGTAACAAAAATAACTCTGCAACTGAACTAAACCCTTAAGTTGTATCATTGACTAAATATACGTCTGTAGGTATACAGTCAATAGTTTTACTTATAGTTATGTAAAGTTCTATGGAAATTGAATCATAATTTACTCAAACCACATATCAGACAAGCTAGATGAAAAAAATATTTAATTGGGTTAATTTTTTTTTGTCACTGTTGCTCCAGCCTTGGAAAATAACCGCTCAGAAGGCACGAGCGTGGCCATTTTACTCAGATTTGTCAGAAATTACCTTCCGATACTTACGATACGATACTGGCCTCTTGGTATCGATACCAAGTAAATATCGGAACAACCGATACCGATACGATACCAGCAGTATCGCAATAAAAGTATCGATACCTACTGGTATCGATAGTATCGCAACATCCCTAGATTTGAATAATCTAGCCTAACTGATAACTTATTTAAATATAGGCCTATTCATTTGATTGTTCTGAGGGACAATTGCGAAATTGCAGCCTTTCACACAAGCAAAGCAAGTTTTTGTAACCTAACTTTAAGTTAAAGCCAGCACTGTGGAGCAGGACCAGGAACCTAAAGCCACGTTTACACTGGAGTTTCAAACAAAAAGTTGCAAACAGCAGTTTCAAATTAAAGTTTGCAATTTTTATTTCATGGTTTTGTTTCCATGTTTCATGAAAATGTTTGAAATAGCCTAGGCTATTTAATTTTGATCTTGATTATGACTTGCCTCGTTCTGGATCCTCAGATCAGTCCTTCCGAGGATGTTAGTTTGATTCCAAAGCACTTCCTGTTCTCTGTACAAGCTAATTGACTTAATAATAGGCCTATTGTCATCTCCCCACTCCATCTCACTCAGTAGATTTACCATCACTTACAACACGCACGATACCACACAACAGAGATAAGTCACAACAAACATGAGTTAGCAGTACACTCCAGGCAGGGTTAACAGTGAGGGAGTCAGTCCGAGTCGAGAAACAGGGTGGCGTGAGTGAGAGTGGAGGTGGTAGTGTAGGGGATGGCGGAGAAATGTTTCTGTTTCGTGTTTTAACGGCTCATAGTGACCGAAACTAGTGTTGCAATCAAAGAGTTTGCAACTCCCTTTGATCTTTAAATACCGGACTTAAAGTGGAGACAAAAATTTCTGTTGCAAACACTGTAAAACTGTTTCCAACAGCGAAATGTTTCGTCTAAAAATGTGTGTTTTTAGATATGTTTGCAATTTCTGTTAGCAACTCGTGTTTCAAACTCCGGTGTGAACGCGGCTTAAAACATGTCTACTGGAGCGCTATTGACGTGGACATTGCTGGATGCCCAACTACAATGCACTCAACGAGTAGAGTTATGATTAAATGCGCAGGTGCAGAGAAGCTATCACTTGTCTTAGTCGTCATCAGGAGTTAGTTGCAGACACAACTTATTATTACAAGTTGAATAAGTTGTAAGCTGTTTATTTATTTTGTATAGGTACCTCAAAACAAATTTTTAATTTTGATTTCTTAAGTTACCGTACTTATAGTTTTTTACCTTCTGAATCCAAATAAGTTATAGCCTACCATTATTTTTCACCGCTGATGAATATTTCTCAAGATATCGCCGTAAAAATATAGGCCTACAACATTATAATAAACAAGGTTGGATATAATTGATCTATTTATGCCTAGTCACTTCAATAGTTTTTGTGTAACTAGTGGGCGAAGTGGCACTTTGCTGCAAACGAAAGAAATGCACGAGCCGTAGACGAGTGGGGGATGTTTCTCAAGTGCAGCAAAGGCACTCGTGTTACACATTACTTATAGTTTCCCTACAGTTAATATAAATCATAAATAATTAGTCTTTCAAACAATGCACAACACGGTATTAGGTTAGGTTAAATCCATACATTGAACGAAATGGGAAACGCTGGACCGGGGGCCATTCCATGTCAAGTCATCCAGGGGTTGTCACCCACTAGTCAAAGATTTTCATGAAAATTTGTACACATAATTTAGACATTTAGATAGGATAAAATCCAAAATTTCAGTTCATTATGTCAAACGGTTTCAGAAATATGACTATTTGAAGTTTTGAGCGAATTTAGTTTCCGAGGTCCAATTTGACGCTAAGGGAGCGTGCATGTATTCTCGTCTTTCTATGTAGAATGGACAATTATTAAGCTAGAGGCCTCAAAATTTGACTCATATCCAAAATTTAATGCAGAATCATATAGGGTACCTAATACAATTAAAATGATAACTATTACCTATTATCACCCCAAAAAAATTCCTAAATACAAATAATTCGATTTTTCCGAAATCGGAACATTCAGTTACAAAAGGTTTGATAACAAAAATCTCTCTCCAGATAAACCTATAAAACTATATATCACTGGAAAGAGGATAAAATTATCTTTCAAATGGTATAATAACATGAGTGGGGTTTTGAGTATTAACATTGTTATCACACGTGAAAGTCAAAAATTAAATTGGATAAGGCTAAAAATTTCATTTGATGCCGAATATGTATGATCAACTTAAATAATACAAAAGGTTCATCAATATGTTTGTACAAATGACTTGAAATCTAAAAATATGAAACAAAATATTGAGTCCTTAAGTTGTTATTTTTGTATGAATTAAATTTTTAGCCTACTTATAAAAAGCCCTAACTAAATTATCCTACATTACTTTTACCTAAATAAAGGCTTATTATAGCTTTACAAGAAATTACAATTACATTTAATGCAAAATTTATAAGTTTACCACTCTCAATAACAAATTAAAAAAATGTATTATTAATTTTTATAGATCAAACTTCAATATTAAATTATGCGTTAAAAAAATAAAAATAAAATTGTATGACATATTTAATACACAATCAATGTTTTTAACCAGATGTTTATACCAGTGAATGTGACCAGTATCTGTGTGTATTGGTGTGTTTGTGTTTAAAATTATCTTTCAAATGTTATAAAAAATAAAAGTGGGGTTTGGAGTATTAACCCTCCGAGTGTCATGCGTCGCTGCAGCGACTCACGAACACTGTTTACGGTAAAGGCTCTATGACTGACTGAATCGGATTGAACTGGATCGAGTTAGGTATCGTTCTTTTCGTTAAATTATAAGCTTTCTCCAGAGGTCTGTCTCAGCGCTGTATGTTCTCCGAGCCGATCGTAATTGTAGCAGACAGCTGACGTGCGTATTAGTAAACAGCTTGGTTATCCTCGGACCGATGACTGATGTGTTTTATTACGTTTATCATTGTTTTAGTATTGAAAATCAAAAGTAGTGATTTACGTGGTGCATTATAAGAAGATTTAAGTGATTTTGAAGGGCTGGTTGATGATCCTGAAGAAGTAGGTAGTGATATTGAATTTCATTGAGCGCGAACTTATTATTTTTGTTTTTATTTTCCAAAATATATTTTTTTTTACCTAAAAAAATTTTTTTTAACAAATGTTCCTTATGTTTTATATATAATATTGAAGCCCATGATTTTCCAAACAAAATGGTATATAGAACAGTATAATTAACATTGTTTTTAAGCTTCTCAGATCCGTTTTAATAAAACCTTGCAAATGAGCTAAAAATAGGCAGACATTAAGGCCAAAACAAGGGACACTCGGAGGGTTAATATTTTATGTTCCTCAAAGTCAAAAGAAAACAACTTGATTGAAACGTAAAACAAAACCAAATACATCCTAGTTTTGAAGTAAATTTGTATTAATTTTTTTGTAAACTCTTTGTCAATATCTTCGTCACTATCATGAAATGCAGAATTTTGTTCATTTTTTGAACCAGTGTTTACAACATTCAATAACTTTCTACAATTGCTGCACAAAAGCTTTCCTGGCACTAAAGTTATGTCTTTAAGTTTTTTAACTTCTTTTACCTTCTCTAAAGAAATTACTCTTAAATCTTTGTCAAGGATACCACATGTTTTTTTAAATGGGTCACAGCATGATGTTTTTTACATTTCAAAAAGTAACAAAAATGATGAGAACAAATTGAA